TGGTTAATGTCAATGTCATGATTTGAATTAATGGGACAAAAGGCTTTTCAATACATCATATCAGATTACCCTGACACCATTAATAACTGAGAGAGGTGAGAATATATATTTGTGTGAGGTAACATTACTTAATAGAGGAATAAAATTATCTAAAGACATTTTTCCATGGGCTTAAGAAGTGAATCAGGTCAGTTCTAGGTCATCAAGATGAACTTTCTCCTAGAGTCACTACCAAGGAATGAGATCAATTGCCTAGATTTCTGTATCATTCTTGCTCCCATCCCCCTATATCACCAATGGGTTATCAAGCTTTAGCAAACCAACATTTTAAATAATGCTCAGTTGCTAGAGGCCCATGTCTAACCTGGGACTTACTAATAGCCAGGCTGACCTCAAACTCATGACTCTCCTACCTCATCCTTTGGGTGGTCAGGCTGATAAGTATGTCTCACTATGTAATTGTTCTCTTTCGAATGCCTCAGCCTCTTTCCCACCGCCCGAGGGATTTCCAAACTTGGTGTATGTGTTTCCACCCCAGTGTCATTCGAACGCACTCAGTCTCCAGCTGCAGAAGACACATTCTTTGCCATCATCCCCTCTAGCCTAGGTTAATCTTCACTGCCAGCTTCCCTGGGTGTAGAGTCACCAGGAACGCACACTTATGAGCAACTTCCCAGAGGTGTTTAACTGAAGGGGGATGACCTCTCTGAAATGTGCATGGCACTACCCCACAGGCTGGGGTCCCAGACTGAATGAAAAGGAAAACAAGAGAAGCAAACGGAGCACAACCATGACTCGCTCTGTTTCCTGACTGGGATGTAGTGAGAGCTGGGGGTTGGGGGTGGGGCGCTCATGATGCATCACGCCTTCCCTCCTGTGACAGGCTGTAGCCCCTCAGACCATGAAGCAAAATAAAACCTTCCTTCCTTAAGGTGATTTCCTTACTGTGACAAGAAAAGTAACAACTTTGTGCATGTTTTGCAATACTTTACTGAACTGGTCCTTGGGTCTTTCATCAGTACTTTAAAATGCAGGAAGGTTAAACAATGAGTCTGTTTGACTTGTCAGTGTATCCCCACCTCGTGTGTGTGTGTGTGTGTGTGTGTGTGTGTGTGTGTGTGTGTGCGCAGATGTGGGGGAATATGAGTATACATGTATGTGCAGATGCATGTACATGTGCATGTACATAGAGGCCAGAGGTCCGTCCTGGGTGCAATTCCTCAGGAGCTATCCATCTGGGTTTGTCAGACAGCCTCTCTATGTCCTAGTGTTCATGGAGTAGGCTAAACTGCCTGGCCACCTAGCCCCAGAGATCTGCCTGTCTCTCTGTCCCTGTTGCTGGGATTACAGGTATGGGCTCCCATCATGCTCGAGCAGCAGGCACTTGACCAACTGAGGCATCCTCCCCATCGGCTCTTATCATTGTTTAATATTTCTATTATCAGATATGTACTTGCCTAATCAAGGATGGAAGAGTTAAGAAAACCCGGAAGCAGAAATGATAGGAATAGGTCTCCACCTTTTTGCAGCTGGCATGATGGAGCATCCCCATGCCTGAGTAGCCCAGATGTGCCTTTGAGTCAGGGCCAGTTGCAATAGTGAACAAAACAGGTGTGTAATTACTTGAGACACTGATCCTGCATGGCGGTGATTTCCTGCAGGATGGGCACCTCTTCTCCCGCACCGGGGAGGGCTCCGTCTTGCAGCATGCTCAGCGCTCGCTGTTGAAGCACGCCTAGGGCCTGCTGCTGTTGTTCCAGCTCCAACAAACACGTGTCCTGGCACTCAAGGAGGGCCGTGAGCTCCGCTTTTGAGGCTTTCTCTGGCGAACTCCCAGGTAATTTTCCTTGCAGCTGATCAATCTTTTCGGTGGTTTCTTTAATCTAGTGACAAGCAGACATCTTATAAAGCTCAAAATGATGTTGAAAAAAGTCTGGCAAGTCCAGTCAGGGCCACACTAGACATCGTTAACCATGACGACATAAATTCCAACTTTTAGAAACGAAACTGACATGGTGGTTTTAACAGGAAGGGCCACCTCCCCCGCCCTGGGTTTAAATTATCGATCCTCAAATCTTATCAAGGCAGTCACAGACTACATGTGGCAGAGAAACTTTAAATGGACGGACACACAAGACATCCATTCTTAAAGTTAGCCTGAGCGTGTGTGGGAGTCACAAAGAAGACATGGCTGAAACATTGAACCTTCCCTGATGGGTGGAAGAAATTACATATGGATTTGAAGAATGAGTTCGATTCCTATTTTTACAACAAAGAAAAAAATTATTTTGGACTTTTTCCAAAAGAGGTTAAAACCAAAGGGGGCTTACACTGGTTTGTCTTCCTTTCACAATTTCATTGCTTAATTTTCTTTTTAAAAATTCATTTATGTCTTTATTTTTGAAGTTTTATTGGTTGTTAATGAGTGTGTGCACACATGCATGCGTGAGGCATGCCCAAGAGCACAGGTGTACATGCAACACACATGTGGATGTCATAGGACAACTTTTAAGAGTCTGTTCTCTCACTTCCCTGTGGGGGTCTTGGGATCAAATCAGGTCATGGGTCTTAAACCACAAGCCCCTTTACATGGTGAACCATTTAGTTGGCCCTTATTTATTTTAAAATTGGTATGCAAAACAACAGATTCCCTTTTAACATTTTCATACGAACTTGGTGTTGGAGGCTCCAAACCCCTCCTCACCTACACCTTCCTGTCCAATCTCCCTGTCTTTCCCCATCCTGCCTCTTACATTCATTCATTCTTCTGTCCCATTTTCTTTTTTGTTCCTGCTGTGTCACATGCATTCTATTGCCCTCCCCATGCCCTCTGGTCCTCACTTAAAACTAAACTGTACAATGCACATTACATTTTGGTTCATAATTTAAGTTTGAAATGGAAAAAAAATGATAAAAGTTTCCTAAGACTCATTGCAAACGAGAAGCATGTGGCTGTTTGAAAGAGCAAGCCCCCACCCCCGACCTCCAGCCTCGGGTGTTTGACTACTGGGTCCCTAGTTGATGGCCTTGTTTGAGAAGGTTTAAGAGGTGTGGCCTTAGTGTTGGAAGTATGGCACTGTGAGAGGGCTTGGAGAGCGAAGGTCTTCCCTTACTCCCAGTTTGGGTTTTCTGCTTGGTGCTCGTGGTTCAAGATGTAAGCTCCGAGCTTGCTGCTCCAACCACCACGCCATGCCTGCTGCCTGCTGCCATACCTCCCTGCCATTGAGGACCCTAATCCTCTAACAGCAAGTCAAAACAAACTCTTTCGTCTCTAGGTTGCCTCCTTGGTCATGGTGTTTTTTTTTTTTTTTTTTTTTTTTTTTTTTTTTTTATCACAGCCACAGGAACGTAACTAACACAAAGGCAAAAGGCAAGATGCCAGTTTTCAAAATACATCCTAATCTTTGAGAAATAAAACAAAACCCAACTTAAGCCGATCCGTAATCCAAGTTACCTTATCGCTCAAGCCCTTCCACTCATCTATTGCATCCTTCAGTATCTTCTCCTGGTCCTGGGCCACAGCACGGAGACGCGTCCAGCGCTGCCAGGCAGTGGTCATCGACCTGCTTAGGGTCGCTTTGCTCGCATCATTTCCGGTTTTCTCTAGATGTGATGCCTTTTCCTCCAGGGCCACAATTTTCTCATGGAAAGAGTCAACTACAGACACTAAAGCCTAGTGCAGGGTTGGGGGTGAGTAGAGGGGGTTAGAGAAAGATTGATTTTGTTTTTAAAGTTCTACGGACTTGGGTCAGAGCCCAAAGACACTTTTGCAAAAGGAAATATTTCTATGTAAATGTAGGTTCCTCAGGCACATGTCTATAATTCCAGCGGTGGGGAGGTGGGGCAAGGGAGTCAGGGGGTCGAGGTCATCCTCAGCTACATGTTGAGTTCAAGACCAGCTTGGGCTACCTGGAACCCTGCTTCAAAAACCCAGAAGTAAAATTAATAATTATGAGTACATTTTGCTGCCTCTAATAACTCTCAAGTTTTACTTATCAGAGTTGGGTTTTGGATTTATTTTTGAAAGGTGAATATTATTTATTTACAAAAGACAAGTTATTTTGTACTTGAGATGATTATTTTTCACGATTTCTGGCAATCAGCAAGAAGGAAGGAAATTTTCACTTTGGTATTCTAGAATACCATTGTCTTCCTTATGTTGCTCTGCCAGTGAGGGACACCCAGGTATTTACTTCTCGATTTTGTTTTAGTTAGTCCAAGTTATCAAGAGACGGTATTTACTGACGTTTTAAAAGGTTTAGTTAGTTGTTATTCTGAGGGCTGGCAGGATGTGGGCTGGAGTTAAAGAAGACTTTTGAAGAGTCCGTTCTCTCTTTACACCTTGATTTCTGCTGCTGCCCTGGTTCCGGGAGCTCCCAGCTGCTGTCTCCCTTGCTGCAGGGGTGCTAGCTAGGACCACTGACCTGTGCCTGCACACCTTGCTTTTTATGTGGGATCAGGGGACCCAACTCGGGTCGTCAGGTGTCAGGCTTGCGTGGCAAGCACTTTTACCCACCCGGCCACTGCCCTAGCCCTTCACTGTTATTTTTTATTTTTTATTTCTTTTTTGTTTTGTTTTTCGAGACAGGGTTTCTCTGTGTAGCTTTGCGCCTTTCCTGGAACTCACTTGGTAGCCCAGGCTGGCCTCAAACTCACAGAGATTCACCTGCCTCTGCCTCCCGAGTGCTGGGATTAAAGGCGTGCACCACCACCGCCCGGCATTCACTGTCATTTTTAAGAAGCAGATTGCTTTGAATTTCTCTGTAGATCCTTAGCTACACATTTCTTATGAGCATCCCCCCCCCCAACTACGAAATGTTTTTATTTGTGTCTATATCATACCGAAGGAAGCCAGATGGAAATAAAGATTTGATGATATGATTCTGGAAACATCACAAAGACTTTTTGCAATTAACATTAAAAAGACACTGAAATAACAATGACAAAACTGACCTTGTGTTTTGACAACTTTTCTTCAGCTTCCTGGCTGGAAGAAGTCTTCAACAATGAAAACTCAGACAGCTTCTGCTCCGCATCATTCATCAACTCGATGACCTCTTCCCTTGCTTTCTGGTACTCCTGCCATTGAACCGTACATCTTGAAAGAATCCAAGAGAAATAAGTAAGCTATACAAACCCAGCTATCTCCCACACAGAGCTCTGGTGTCCACATGTCTAATGATAAGAGAGAAAAACAAATTTACAGGCTAATGTACGTTACCATATACATTATATTAGCACACTATTGTTTTCTGTGTGGCAATATCTTTTTGCATGAACCTACTCTAAATACCTCTGCAGGAGGTCCCGCTGGGCATGGGAGTCCTGGAAGACCCTCTGGCTCCTCCTTGCCAGGGAAGCCATCTTCTGGGCTAGCTCTTCCCTTCCAGCTGGCTTGATGAGTGGGTCCAGCTTGGTCACAAGACCTTGGAGCTCCTCCATGTTGCTGTGGAACTGACCCTCTGTTTTGAAAAATTCCACGTGACTTTTGAGATTTTCCTCCGCACTCTCAACATCGAGGCCATTGCCCGCCAGCTGTAACATTTCTTGGGCATCCTCAAGCCAGTCATTGGCTGTTTGGAACACTTGATAATACCTTTGACAGTGACTGTATGATTCTGTCAAGGTTGCCTGAAAGACAGTCATCATGAGATAATCAACTTCCATTTGCAGTAGGTTTGTAAGAAGTCATTTTATTTTCCCATCTCCTTTCTAGGTCCCAGCTCTAGAAACACCATGAGAAGTTAACGCATAAGTTGGGAGAATTGTTTCCATGGTGAGTGCATCTGAATCCTCTCTTTGCTAATCTTACTTTAATTCTCCCAGTGATAAATACATCACAGATAGGAAAGAAATGAACTATAAATTTATGATAGCATCTTGACTGGTTCTGAAACCATGCTTTTTTTTTTTCCTCAAAGCAAAATACAAAGCTTAGCAGCTGGATAATATGTGAAGTCGTTATGCCTCCGTGGGTTAAAAGAATGATAACATTCAACATCCAAACTAGCCTTTGCCAGCTTCTGGAGATGAATGGCTTTCCCTTGAGTCTTGAGAGAGAGACTAAAATAAAAGAAGTAGAAATCCACAAGGCTTACTGCTTCAAACCCAGAAGGAATGGAAATACTCTAACCAGGCACCAGTAAATGGCTAAGAGGCGTCACCCTGAAAGCAAAGACCTCTGTACAGTTGTCAGGGTTGGCTGCAAACAAGGAGCAGTCAGGAAAGGAGAGGAAGGGTGAGTATGTGGGTTACAAATGCTCCCCATAACATCTGGATGGGGGCAACCAAGACACAGAGGCAAAGCAGAGACAACCTACCAGATTTAAGATTGTGTTCAAGAATCGTCAACTTGAAACAAATAATCAATGAGATAGATCAGCGGTTCTCAATCTGTGGGTGGCGACCCCATTGGGGGTTACATATCAGATACCCTGCATAGCAGATACTTACATTACAATTCATAACAGTAGCAAATGACAGTTATGAAGTAACAAGGAAGTAGTTTTATGGTTGGGGTCATCACAACCTGAGGAACTGCATTAAAGAAATGCAGCATTAGGAAGGTTGAGAACCACTGTGACAGATGATTTTCAAACAGAAGAGATCAGTTGCTGGGGATGCTGTGAATGTGTTGCTCTGATTGACTGATAAATAAAATGCTGATTGGCCAGTAGCCATGCAGGAAGTATAGGCGGGACAAGCAGAGAAGAGAATTGTGGGAACAGGAAGGCTGAGTAAGGAGATGCTGCCAGCTGCCGCCATGAGAAGCAGCTAAGCATGTTAAGATACTGGTAAGCCACGAGCCACATGGCAACTTATAGATGAATAGAAATGGGTTAATTTAAGATATAAGAACTAGATAGCAGGAAACCTGCCACGGCCATACAGTTTATAAGTAAGCTTGGGTCCAAGCAGCTGTGGGACTGGCAGGTGAGAGAGATTTGTCTTGACCATGGGCCAGGCAGGACGAGGAAAACTTCAGCTACAGTCAGTCCTTGCCCTATACTCAGGGCTTGTCTCTGTATCTACAGCTGTAGGAAAATAGTTGTTGAAGTTTAATGATGGCTTTGAGTTAGTGTGGAGAGCAAATATGCTAAGCACACTTTAAAAAGTCTGCATTTTATGTATTTATTACAATCTTACATAAACACTGTAACTGTTGCTATTTAATGAGTTAATCTACGTGTGAAGTAAAGGTAAATGACGGGAAGATTCTGCATGCCTGATGCCCAAAGAGGCCAGAAGAGGCATCAGATCACCTTGAACTGGAGTTTCTGAGCCAGCTTAAGGTTCCCAAATCCAGCTCCTGCATAAGATCATCAAACAGTCTTGACCACTGAACCATCTCTCCACGCCAGGATTATTATTATCTTTTGTGACAGGTTTGCATATAGCTTATATGTAGGTGTTTAATTTACGATCTTCTTCCTGCCTCTCTCAACTTCTCAAGTTCTGGGTACACAGCCATCTACCACCAGGCTCCATTTAAGTAGTACTGGGAATTAAACTCAGAGCCAAGTGCATGATGGGCAAGCAACTGAACTTTACCAACAGAGCTACATTCCTAGGTCCTCAGCCAGGGGATCAAAGGAAACAAGTCTATAGTAGCCACTGTATCTTTTCTCTTAGACTGAACGAGGAAGAGTGTCAGGGTCTTGAGCAAGTCCCAGTAGGAGGGCAATCTGGGAGGTTCTCCACACACTCCCATCACTATTGGTAGTTCCCAGGTCTCAGGAGCAGCAGATGGAGCGCTCTTGTTCCTGCTGGGCTACATTTGACGCCAGGGGAGGGAAGCACTCCTACCTGAAGAAGGGGAGGAGGAAACAGGGCAATGGATGGGACCACCTACAAAAGAACACGCCTCAGCACCTGGTTAGTCTGTGTCATTCATGTGGCTTCACTCTCTTTGGAGCCTCTCCATCCAATGTGATTTTTTTTTAAAGATTTATTTATTATGTATACAGTGTTTTATCTGCATGTACCCCTGCCCACCAGAAGAGGGCACCAGATCTCATTACAGGTGGCTGTGAGCCACCATGTGGTTGCCGGGAACTGAACTCAGGACCTCTGAAAGAACAGCCAGTGCTCTTAACTTCTGAGCCATTTCTCCAGCACACCTCCCCTCACCTTTTTTTTTTTTCCTTCAGAGCTGAGTACCGAACCCAGGGCTCTACCACTGAGCTAAATCCCCAACCCCTCCAATGTGATTTTTAAAATGCCAGATTTCACGTAGGGCTGGAGAGGTGGCTCAGAGGTTAAGAGCACTGCTTGCTCTTCCAAAGGTCCTGAGTTCAATTCCCAGCAACCACATGGTGGCTCACAACCATCTGTAATGAGATCTGGTGCCCTCTTCTGGCCTGCAGAGGTATGTGCAGACAGAGCTCTATATACATAATAAATAAATAAATCTTTAAAAAAAAGGGGGGGGCACTAAGTATCTACTGGTCATACATTCTATTAATATATTCACAATGCTTCTGTGTGGGAATTATTCCCAGGGGCTCTGCTGGTTTAGGATGCTCCAGGCACTTGTGTAAATAGGTGCATGTATCCTACACGCTGTGCCATACTTGAAGTCTTCTCCATATCCCTTCTGACCCCTAATATAATGTCGTTATACGTTATCGTTAAGGGAGCCATGTGAAAGGGTAAAAGTCTGTATATATATCAATTTAAAAAAAATGCCAATCACATTAATCTGGAGGTTCCTCAAAAAATTGCAAATGGGGGCTGGAGAGATGGCTCAGCGGTTAAGAGCACTGACTGTTCTTCCAGAGGACCCGGGTTCAATTCCCAGCACCCACATGGCAGCTCACAACTGTCTGTAACTCCAAGATCTGACACCCTCGCATAGACATACATGCAGGTAATGCACCAATACAAATAAAGTTAAAATAAATAAATTATTTTAAAAAAATTGCAAATGGATCCCTGTATAAGCCAGCCATACCACTTCTGGGTGTTTTCCTGAAGGGCTCTAGACCAACATGCCACAGAGACACTTGAACACCTGCATTTATTGCAGCACTGTTCATCATGCTTTAGTTGTGGAATTGCCTCAAGGGTCCACCAACAGGAATGGATAAAGAAAACGTGGTATGCATAAACAACAGAATTTTATTCAGCCATGAACAAGGAGAGGGTGTCTTTTGGAGGAGAGTGATTGCAACTAGAGAGTCTTATGTGTACGGAGCATATATATATATATATATATATATATATATATATATTTCTTGGTACAAAGACACATACACACGCATGTATATGACATGAGAAGGAAGACATACTAGGGAAAAGACGGGAGACAAATGGGGCAGGGTTTAATGCATGAAAGTGTCCTTATGAAACCCAGGACTGTGTTCAGGGAATATATGCCAATAAAAATAAGTAAGTCAGTTGCCAAAAAAAAAAAAAAAAAAAAACTCTGAGGTTGGTTGAATCTGTTGCAAGCTACATTATCAAAATCATTGATTATCTCTTCCAAATGTGAGGGGAAAATAAAAAAACCAAACCAAAAAACCAGCAAGCTACACCAATCTAAGTAAAATGTATCCAATATGGGACACATGACAATGACCACACATAAACAATAAAAATGGTCTTTGAAACAGTGTTCTATATTTTGGGCTTTTTGTTGTTGTTGTTTTGGTTTTGTGTTTTTTTTTTTTTTTGTTTTTTTTTTTTTTGAGATAAGGTCCCCTTGTAGCCCAGGATAGCCTCAAAATGGTTTGTAGTTTAGAATGACCTTGAATTCCTAAACTTCCTGTCTCCACATCACAAGGGCTGGGGTTATATGAATGACCCACCGTACTTGGATAAAATAAAGCACTGGGCTATAAACAGAGAACTGACCCTAACCAGATTTTCCCCGTGTGTACAGATAGGCAGCCCGGAAAAAGAAAGGCAGGGCGCCCCCTACAGACCTGCCGGGTGCGCAGGGCTTCCTGCACATCTCCATCCAACTCCTTGAGCTCCGCCAATGTGTGCTCCAGGTCTGCAGAAATCAGATCCTTGGCTTTGGTGAACTTCTCCTGCTCCTTGTGACTCAAGGCACTCATGATCCTCAGGCTGGAGAGGACTTCCTCCTGGTGGATCTGGATCTTTCGGATCTCCTCCTGGATGTCCTGGAGGCTGAGGTCAAGGCACACCGGCCCACTGAGCTCCGCCTTCACCCTCCGAAGCCAGTCCAGGGAGCGGCTCATTTCCGTCTGGAAATCTATGCTCTGTACCATTCTGCTCTCGCACTCTGTCACCATCTCCCCGACGCCAGATGTCAACTGGTTCAGCTCCTCCTGCCAGGACTGGACCTGACCCTTGGCTTTCTCATAAGCCGAGGGATCGAGGTGTGGAGTAAGGTCTTCCAGGTGGACAGCCACTCGTTTGAGCAGAATCCCCGAGTCCTGCAGACTTCCTGCCAGCGAGTGGTAGACCTTGAGCTTCTCCTCCGCAGGCAGCGTTTCCTCCTTCACTTTGGCCTGCTGCGTTTTCACGGCTTCCAGTTGACTCTCTAGCTGTCTGCACATCCTCGCATGCTCTTTGTAAGCGCTGGTGGTGTCTTCTAACAAACTCACCCTTTGCTCGGCTTGTCGCTTCAGCCTGTGATACAGGGTGGCCAGCTGTAGCATCTTCTCTGGCTGCCAAGGCTGACCTGTGCTGCGAAAACTTTCTTTTTTCTGGTTCAGTTCGTTCACGGCTTCCCCAAGGCCCACTACCTCACCCAGAAGGGCTCTGCAGCTCTCTTGAAGAGACAGGCTCTCCTCAACGATCAGGTCAGAGGGCATTTTTCTCATCTTCAAGAACTGGTCTTCCAGTTCACCCAGAGACTGGGTTGTTAACTCGATCAAAGAAGCATATTCCTTTCGGGCCAGAATTGCTTCCTGGATTTTATAGAATTTGTCCTTGGCCAAGGCCACAATGACATTGAATTGTTGGGGCAGAGCACTTAGTTTTTCACTGAGGTAGGAATGGTCAACTTCATTTAGCGATGGGAGCATGGCTTGCCCAGTCCTCTGCAGTGTGAGCAGAAGGTTTTCGTACTCGGGAGATTGTTCTAGAATGTTCTGGTATTTGTCCAATTGTGCATGGAGCTCAGCCCCCTCATTCATGAGATTGATTTCAGGAAAAGTGACGATGTCTGCTTGTTTAAGCCAATGGCAGGCTTTATCAAAATCTTCCTTAAAATGCTTTCTAGAGACTAGGCTCTTCTCTAGCTCCTGCAACCGTTGACTACATTTTTGCAAAACAGTGTCGTAGACACTCTGCAACTCTTGAAGCTTTCCGAGCACTTCCGGTCTTTCTTGCTCTATTATTCCTTTCATTAATTCACGACCCTGTGCCCAAAGTCCAGTGACCTCATTTTGGTAAGTCTTAAGACTGGCCTGGGCGGTCTTACATGTTTTGACCTGCTTGCTCACATCATCTGGAAGTAGGCAGATA